GATTTCGAGATATTTCAAAATAATTCAAAAAATATGCTTCCAACCTCCAGTTGCACCCCTTGCCCCGGGTTGCTGGGGATGAAATATTTTTTTAAAATTGAATTAGTACCTAAGTTAACTGTGGTTCAAATATAAATCTGTAGAAACCAGCAGATTTTGAAATATTTCAAAATAATTCAAAAAATATGCTTCCAACCTCCAGTTGCACCCCTTGTTCCGGGTTGCTGGGGATGAAATATTTTTTTAAAATTGAATTAGTACCTAAGTTAACTGTGGTTCAAATATAAATCTGTAGAAACGAGCAGATTTCGAGATATTTCAAAATAATTCAAAAAATATGCTTCCAACCTCCAGTTGCACCCCTTGCCCCGGGTTGCTGGGGATGAAATATTTTTTTAAAATTGAATTAGTACCTAAGTTAATTGTGGTTCAAATATAAATCTGTAGAAACGAGCAGATTTCGAGATATTTCAAAATAATTCAAAAAATATGCTTCCAACCTCCAGTTGCACCCCTTGCCCCGGGTTGCTGGGGATGAAATATTTTTTTAAAATTGAATTAGTACCTAAGTTAACTGTGGTTCAAATATAAATCTGTAGAAACCAGCAGATTTTGAAATATTTCAAAATAATTCAAAAAATATGCTTCCAACCTCCAGTTGCACCCCTTGTCCCGGGTTGCTGGGGATGAAATATTTTTTTAAAATTGAATTAGTACCTAAGTTAACTGTGGTTCAAATATAAATCTGTAGAAACCAGCAGATTTTGAAATATTTCAAAATAATTCAAAAAATATGCTTCCAACCTCCAGTTGCACCCCTTGTCCCGGGTTGCTGGGGATGAAATATTTTTTTAAAATTGAATTAGTACCTAAGTTAACTGTGGTTCAAATATAAATCTGTAGAAACGAGCAGATTTTGAGATATTTCAAAAAATATGCTTCCAACCCTCAGTAGCACCCCTTGTCCCGGGTTGCTGGGAATGAAATATTTTTTTAAAATTGAATTAGTACCTAAGTTAACTGTGGTTCAAATATAAATCTGTAGAAACGAGCAGATTTCGAGATATTTCAAAATAATTCAAAAAATATGCTTCCAACCTCCAGTTGCACCCCTTGTCCCGGGTTGCTGGGGATGAAATATTTTTTTAAAATTGAATTAGTACCTAAGTTAACTGTGGTTCAAATATAAATCTGTAGAAACGAGCAGATTTTGAGATATTTCAAAAAATATGCTTCCAACCCTCAGTAGCACCCCTTGTCCCGGGTTGCTGGGGATGAAATATTTTTTTAAAATTGAATTAGTACCTAAGTTAATTGTGGTTCAAATATAAATCTGTAGAAACGAGCAGATTTCGAGATATTTCAAAATAATTCAAAAAATATGCTTCCAACCTCCAGTTGCACCCCTTGCCCCGGGTTGCTGGGGATGAAATATTTTTTTAAAATTGAATTAGTACCTAAGTTAATTGTGGTTCAAATATAAATCTGTAGAAACGAGCAGATTTCGAGATATTTCAAAATAATTCAAAAAATATGCTTCCAACCTCCAGTTGCACCCCTTGCCCCGGGTTGCTGGGGATGAAATATTTTTTTAAAATTGAATTAGTACCTAAGTTAACTGTGGTTCAAATATAAATCTGTAGAAACCAGCAGATTTTGAAATATTTCAAAATAATTCAAAAAATATGCTTCCAACCTCCAGTTGCACCCCTTGTTCCGGGTTGCTGGGGATGAAATATTTTTTTAAAATTGAATTAGTACCTAAGTTAACTGTGGTTCAAATATAAATCTGTAGAAACGAGCAGATTTCGAGATATTTCAAAATAATTCAAAAAATATGCTTCCAACCTCCAGTTGCACCCCTTGCCCCGGGTTGCTGGGGATGAAATATTTTTTTAAAATTGAATTAGTACCTAAGTTAACTGTGGTTCAAATATAAATCTGTAGAAACGAGCAGATTTCGAGATATTTCAAAATAATTCAAAAAATATGCTTCCAACCCTCAGTAGCACCCCTTGTCCCGGGTTGCTGGGGATGAAATATTTTTTTAAAATTGAATTAGTATCTAAGTTAATTGTGGTTCAAATATAAATCTGTAGAAACGAGCAGATTTCGAGATATTTCAAAATAATTCAAAAAATATGCTTCCAACCTCCAGTTGCACCCCTTGCCCCGGGTTGCTGGGGATGAAATATTTTTTTAAAATTGAATTAGTACCTAAGTTAATTGTGGTTCAAATATAAATCTGTAGAAACGAGCAGATTTCGAGATATTTCAAAATAATTCAAAAAATATGCTTCCAACCTCCAGTTGCACCCCTTGTCCCGGGTTGCTGGGGATGAAATATTTTTTTAAAATTGAATTAGTACCTAAGTTAACTGTGGTTCAAATATAAATCTGTAGAAACGAGCAGATTTCGAGATATTTCAAAAAACAAAATAACATTAAAAAAAATCCCTCTCCTATACCCCTTGATATAATTTCCCTAAGAATATGGGTTGTTTTTCGCTGATATGTAACTGTAGTAGAATTTTATATAACTAAGTTAAGTGAGGTAAAATACAATTTCTGTCGATTAAAATATGACCCGACGCCACTGGGCGTTCGGGTATCTTCGGAAAATTTGGCTACTATCTTTTGCCACCAACTTCACACCGGTCTAAAAAAATCAGATCTCGATCACCAAAGTAGCATTTCGCGCACTACATAGATACAAAAATAACTATTCTAATACCTACCGCAAAACCTGTTTTTTCAAAGGCTGAAACCTTTTTTTTTAAATTGTATCCGGAGTTACCCCTGAATGAAGAAAACATCAGTTTTCTGCGGTTTTAAACCTCTGTCCGAAGTCACCCCACTTTATGGGGTGAGTTCGGACAGTCTTGATTTTTTTTTTAAAAAACGGGGGAAGATATGAAGCATTTGAGAGTCTCAAATGTTCCCTGGATGTTGAAGCTATGTTGAGCAAAAATTACAAAAAAATATCTATCTTGGTGTTGCAATGAAAACTGTAGCAAAACGCGTCCGAAGTCACCCCCACCCTGTTTAACGGTACCTACTTTCGCGGACATCCAACCCACCCCAACCTTTCCCAATATCTTCCAAAGAGCCTCTCTATTACTCTATTGACCGAATCGATATGTTTATAGTATTATTATTATTTAACATAATAATATTTATATCTCCAATAAGATTAGTTTTATATTGATTTTCGTTTAGTTAATTTTTCTTTTATTATACACGGTGATTTATGTACGTAGTCCGTGCATTAGAAGTTTTCCAGGTTGCAGGTGGACTAGTAGAGATCGCATCTCATCCACCTGCATTCTTATGCATGGTGCACGGGCTACGTAAATTCACCCGTATTACAATTTCAAGAGATTCAATTTTTAATCAAGTAGATATTTGTGTTTTTATCTTGGATTCAATTTTTTCTCTACTGTTGGGTTCGGAAACAACCCAGAACCAGTTGGTGCAGAACCACAGACTACAGGACGAAAACGGCCGGACCACCCAGAGCGCACAAGCGAGACCTGGGCTACGAGGTTCGGCAGCGATCAAGTCTCAGTCTGCGACCCGCCTCGATGCCGTAGCTCACGGCTTAGAAAAACCTCCCTGCACACATACCTACCTACCCTCGCTATGAATCGCTGTTGTTCATCCCCGCTGTATTTTTTATAATTAATAAAGGTCGGTGCTAAATTGACTCGTGGCGTGATTATTATTTCCCGATCGACAAACGTAACAAAGTGGCGACGAGATAAAAGTGATTTTTTTTTGGACATTCCATTCGACAAACGCGCGGCATTTCCAAAATGGCGAACATAAAATTCGTGGAATTTAACCCCGATTATGACAACTTCGAAGTATACGCGGAACGGCTGGAGTACCATTTCACGGCAAATTCGGTTACGGACAGAAAAATAAAAATCGCAATTTTACTGAGTTCAATAAGCGCAGACACCTACTCCCTGCTCAGGGACATGTGCCACCCCACGGCACCCAGGGACAAAGAATACGACGCTCTAATCAGTATTTTGAGAAAACAGTTCGGGGTAATAATAAATGTTTGGCGCGAACGAAGAAAGTTTTACGAGCTAAAACAAAACCATGAAGAAAAAATATGCGAGTGGTACGCCAGAATTCGAAAAGGCGCCGTTTCCTGCGGTTTTGGAGCCGATTTGGGCAAGATATTGCTAGACAAGTTTGTTTCCGGACTGGTGGACGGCAAGATTTTCGACAGATTGTGCGAGGAGAATGCTTCAACGGCCTCGATCGAAACCACAGTAGAAGCAGCCAGCAAGGTGGAGAACGTCATCCATTCGACAAGGGGCATCAACATCGTCCATGCAAATTTCCCGCCACATCGTCCACATGGCGCCGGAAAACCGGAAATTCAACAATATGGCGGCTACCCCTACCACCAATCTCAGAGCAGCCAACACCACCAAGCACATGACCGAGACCGTCGACGCAACGACAGACGAAATCCGAGGAGCCGGTCACGTAGCAACAGCCGCAACCGCAGCGTCGAACGCAGCAATCAGCAGTGGCAACACCGCCGAGGTAGGTCACCCGCATCCGTCAATCAACCACCAAACTTCAATCGGTACGACGGAGGCGGCAATCGTAAATGTCAAACGTGTCACAAATTTCATGGAAATAAAAAAAAAAAAATGTTTTTTGCTGAATTCTAGGCCCAATTTAGGTAAAGATCCTCACAGAAATTACAACCGACAAGTAAATTTTGTAAATCGAGACGAAGATTTGTTTCACGTTCAAATTACAGAGGGGTTCGCAGACTCCACTCCAGTATGTAAACAAAAGCAAACAGCGGCAAGGGCAACAAGCATTTGCCGGGTCGAGGGGGATGTAAGTGATAATCCTTTTAAAATTGAGGTGGAAATCCTAGGTAAAAGTCACGTAATGACTATTGATAGTGGGGCAGGTTTGTCTTGTTTGAGCAAAATAACATATTCTAAACATTTTTCCGATTTTAGGTTAAAAAGAGACTCTTTGCTGTTGAGGGGATACGATGGGAGCACATTCACTCCGGACGGATACTTTGAGGTGACTGTTAAGTACAACGGCATTTCCAGGCCCGTCAAATTTTACGTCGTTTCCAACGGATCAGCAGACATTCTTGGTCGTGACTGGATTGGCACCTTCCAAGTAAAAATAGAGTTAGTTAATCAAATCGCATTAAACGAAAGAATTTCAAATTTAATCAAGAAATTTCCTTCAGTGTTTACAGATAATTTGGGTGAATATAAATTTAAAAAAATTTCCTTAAATGTAAAGCCGAACTCCGCCCCAGTGTTCTGCAAACACAGGTCCATTCCCCTGGCCTACCGTCAAAAGGTAGAGGAAGAACTCGACGCTTTGGAGAACATGGGCGTTATAGAGCCGATAAACGCCAGCAATTGGGCAACTCCCATAGTTCCCGTTTTAAAGTCCAACGGTAAGCTCAGACTATGCTCAGATTACAAAATAACCCTTAACCCAGTTCTGGAGGACCAGCTGTACCCTCTCCCGAGAATCGACGAGATTTGGGACAAAGTAAGCAAGGGTGATAAATTTTCAAAAATTGATTTGCAGCTAGCTTACATGCAGTTCCCAGTGGACAAGAAGACAAGCCAGTTATTATGCTGGAACACCCACCGAGGTCTGTACGCAATCAAAAGGCTTCCATTTGGAATCACTTGCGCCGGAAGCTTATTCCAGAGGGAGATGGAGACAATTTTCAAAAATATGGAAGGGGTCCAACCGTTTTTGGATGACATTTTGGTGACGGCCGAGTCTGAGCAGTTGCACCTCCAAAGACTGGAGCAGGTTTTTCAAAGGTTGCAGGAGGCGGGCTTAACAGTGAGGGCAGAGAAATGCCAATTTTTCAAGGAAGAGGTAGAATATTTGGGGTTCAAGATTTCCAAAAATGGATTAAGAAAGACTGAGGACAAGATTGCAGCAATAACCAAGACGAAACGCCCTTCAAACATCACTGAGGTAAGAGCTTTTACAGGACTAGTGAATTATTACCACCGTTTCATCCCAAACGCAGCTCAGATATTACACCCAATTTATAAGCTACTCAAAAAAGATACAAATTTCCACTGGTCAGGAGAATGCGAACGGGCGTTTCAGAAAATTAAATCCATTATCGCCTCAGACACTTGTCTGCTACACTTTGACCCCAAACTGCCTATAGTGATAACAACAGATGCGTCGGACAAAGGCGTAGCTGGAGTTTTGAGCCAGATTAAGAACGGCGAAGAAAGAACCGTGGCGTGCGTGTCAAGAACTCTCATGCCAGCCGAGCTCAAGACAACTTCATTGGAAAAAGAGGCGTTGGCCGTATACTTTACGGTAAATAAATTTTTCTATTATCTCTGTAACGCCAGGTTCACCATAAGGACAGACTGCAGAGCCCTAACAGCCCGGCTGTCCCAGGCAGAAACACAGTAACCGCTCAGATTTTTATTTCAAGAAAATTGAACTTTTGTAAAATTAATTAGCCTGTCAAAACGAATGGTCATAACACTTTCAATTTTGGACAAGATCAATACAATTAGTTAACACTTGCTTCTATATTATCTAAAAACCTATATTCCCAACGTTTTCTGAAAAGATGAGTAAACTTTGATTCGCCATGGAAAGTAATATAGTATTTTTAGAAAAAATCTGTGAATAACACAGTAAGATATCTTACTAAATATAAATGAATAAAAGTCTCAATGACAAAACACAGTGAATACATTTACTGTGTTATACCCTGGTGAACTTTTTGGTGTTTGTTTAACTTTTTGGTAGTTACTGTTTTTTTTTTTGCATGATGTGAAATAAAAGACATTTTAAACACATATAGATATATTAAGAAAACTTCTTAAATTACAACTAAAAAGGAACTTCTACCAGAAAAAAGAAAAGAAGATGTAGAAAAATCGTAAACGATGCTGACGATTTTTTTCAATAGGGAAGTAAAAGAAAAGAGGTATATAAAAAACAGAATGAAAATTAAATTTCCTTACGAATCATCCTGCGGGCTTTCAATGTTTTGTTCGGCATTCAGTAAATCTAAAGACCCTTGAGACTCTGGAAGAGATTCCCAAAATATTCTTCGATTTAAAGGCATTAAAGGAACCAAAACTTTACAAATTTTTTCTTTTTTAGAAGCGGAAATTCCTCTTGCTGGTAAAATTTCAGGAACAATAGGTAAATTAACTTTTTTTTGTAGAAAATCTAACTCTTTCTCTTCGCCTCCAAAATCTAGCTTATATTTTATGTTTCTACTTCCTTTACAAAAAGTTACTTCAACCAGCTCACCTATAAGAAACCCTTTCAATGGGTCATCCGGCTTCCTTGTGATTCTCTTTTTATTTTGCCATAAATGAAATTCGGTTAGTTGAAGGACATCGACATTTTTCCTGCATGCCTGAATAACTTCTACGAGCTCCTGAAAGTCAGTAATTGTTCGTTTCCGCCCTATTTTTCTTTCTATATTTCCATGTATTCCGTCTGCGCTCATATGGGTGTGACCTTTGGTGAGGTATCTAATTGTTATCTTATTTGGGCCAGTTGGTAAATTAACTGCATTTACAAGAGTTGTAAATAACACCCAATTTTTGTTTTGGGCTGTACAGTTATCTGCCCAAAACAGAAATTCGGTCGCATCCCTTTCTTGATTCATTAATTTTAAAATCGAATCAGCAATCGCCTCTGCCTTTCTGCCGGCAAGAGCCTCATGCCATAAAACGCAATAACTTTTTTTGCGGCTCTCCTTATTTAATGTTGCAAAAGTCTCATTAAATATTACTAGCCTGCTAATAAAAAAAGAGCTTTTACAAGCAGGCATTATGGGTAGGAGCATAACTTTTTGTAAGTCCATTGAAAATGTACGTTTCAACGTAGCATTTTCAGAAGTAGATGCCTCTTCTGCATCTTTCTTATATTGTGAAGTAGCCTTTGCAGCTCTTAGTTTATGTGTATGTAGTTTTTGCCTCACTTGATCATCATCATCATTTTCCATTGTCTCACACTCTTCACATACATCGGATTTAGGAGGACACATGGATATATTCATATCTTTTAGAACTTTTCTGTAAGTCTCAACTTTACATGTATTAGGATTCTTTTCATTGAAATCATTGTACAGTTTATCAATAGTTAATTCCCTCGACAGGTATCTACGTAGTGGTGCATTTTTTCGGCGATAGTGACTGACAAATGGGTGAAATGATTCAATATGGGCTTTAATGAATGTTGGGTCAATTGCTTTTTTATGGTTTCCCCTACATTCTTTTACCATTTCTCCACAGGGTTTCTTTTTAATAGCTCGCACCAGTTCAGTTATTACAGAATCGTTGGTGTATCCTAGGGTATTTAGAAATGTAAGTCGACAAACTTGAACGTCTTTCGAATCAGCAAGAGGCAAAGAAAATCGTCTGGACTCTGATCTATTTCTAGATGCTGACAATATCCTACGCTTAACAGAAACAAGTGAAACATGTTTGCTTAACCACTTTCTTCTACTTGTATAGTTTAAATTCCAGTAGTGATCCCATATCTTATTTCTATCCTCATCTGATAACTTGGTACAATCCCTTTTACATTTTCCTGAACACAGATTTCTCATCGGATGTTTTAATTTACCATGTTCAACTTTTTCTTGCTCTGTACGACGACATTTTTTCTTTTTGGTGCTGGTTCCACTGGTTCCAGGCATATTATTTTCTGTAGATTCTAACTGATAAGATTTCTCGATCATTGAAAACTGAAAATAAATAAAGTTGAAAATATAACAATTATTATAATATTATTTTTACCCTTTTTGTGGTTTCATTTTCCTTATCTCTATTTCCTCCAGAACTATTATTATTGACATTACCCTCGTCTTCCACATTTTCAGATGCATCTATTCTTACTAGTTCGGACAAAATTTTCTACAAAAAATTAATTGAGAATAATTGAATTATGCTAAAATTGTGAAAAAATACCCTCTTTTTGTTACTCCTTTTTTGTGTTTCTTCTTCCTTTTCTGATTCGCTACTGCTGCCGCTAGGCTGGTAGTTTTTATCGGCGTCACTGTCATCGCAAGGACTATATAATGCTTCAATATCAAACTCGGTATTATCTTCCTCAGAAATATCATATTCATTGACCAATTTTTTTTCAGTATCTTCTATTACTGTCATGGGTCCATTACAAAAATTTTGCAACCTTTTTAAAGCAACTTCCTTATCAGAAGCATTTTCAATACTGCTGTTGAAATACGAGGTGGTTTCATACTTAATGTAAGGCATAAGGGGCAATTCATTAATATTCTAAAAACCGTTATATTTGATTTCCACTTTACATTACAGTAAGCATATAATAATTTAGTCATTGAAAAATAATGACTTTTAACTTACCGTCGGCGTCGATTCCGTCGAATTATAATATTGCATTTCAAAATTTTTTCGCGCTTTTTGAACTAAAAGTCTTGTCCGGGCTCTGAACGCCATCCTCCTTGCTCTGCAGTCGATAGTGCACTGAAACTATGCGATGCGCAGTTGCGGCAGTTGCGCGCTATTCGATCGACATCCCCACCCTGTAACTGCAGCTGCTAAACATTTAATCCTTGTGGTAAAATTACTTATTTCCTGCGGTTTTAACATCAAAAACGCAGTAATTACTTTACCTGTGAAATTCTATTGGGATAATAATACCATTTTTCCAAATTTAAATATAGTAAGAGCACTCACAGTTTTTATTTCAGAAATATATTCATCTAAATCCTAAGCAAAAAGACAGTAAAATCCAATACTTTGTGACTATATCACAAAAAATACTTTAATTTTCCTACAAAAAACAAAGTAACTGCAAATGCTTTCAGTTACTGTGTTTTTGAGTAGGAAAAATTCAAAAATATTATTGGAACTTTTCAGTAAGTGCATTTACCACTCAGAAACACAGTAACTGTGAAGCAGTTACTGGGTTTAATAACAGATATTGGCATTTACTGTGTTTTAATCTAGATTATTTAGCTTGAATGAGATAGTTACTGTGTTTTATTCTAACAAAATATGTTTAAATATTTGAGTTTTTACCAATTTTAATAGCGAATTATGTGAAATGGTACCCAGTAACTACAAAAATTGGGAAAACACATTTTTTCAAAAAATGTCAGTTACTGTGTTTCTACATGGGACAGCCGAGCCCTATTCGGGGAACACCGTGGCATCCCCAAAATGTCTGCCAATAGATTGCAGAGATCGGCAGTTTTTCTTTCTACTTTCAGTTACACAATTCAACACATAAAAGGGCGCAACAATCCTGTAGCGGACTACTTGTCCAGAAACCCTCTGGAGACCATTACAACATCCGAAGAAGCAGCAGGAAGAGCTACATATATAAATTTCACAGAATCATCTGAGTTTTGGCCAATAAACAATTCCGAGATTAGAACACATCAGTCGAACGACGAGGAAATCCAACAAATTGTGGAGTACATAAATAGAGACCGATGGCCAAAAAGGGTAAGTGACAACTTACGACCTTATTTGCAGAAGCGCAGCGAACTTCATATTGACAGAGGAATTTTAATGTACGGACACCGTGTTGTGGTCCCGAAGACACTAAGAAAAAGAACATTGTCAGAAATTCATTCAGGGCATTTCGGAATACAGAGATGTAAAAACGTGGCCAGAAGTATAGTGTATTGGGCAGGCATCGATTCTGACATAGAAAAGATGGTGAATGGCTGTCACCCCTGTCAACTACATCGCAGCGAACCACCAAATGTGACGGAGACGTGGCCAGAAACCAAAGAAATATTCCAGCGTGTCCATATAGATTTTCTGGAAATCCGCTCTTCGATGTGCCTAATTCTGGTTGACGCTCATACGAAATGGGTCGAAGTTTTCCCTATGAAGTCAACAACTGCCATAGAGACCGAAGAAAAGCTCAGACAGGTGTTTGCAACTTTTGGATTGCCGCAATTGGTAGTCAGCGACAACGGCAGACAACTCGTGGAGAAAAACCTGGAAAAGTTTTTCCTGAGGAATGGTATAAAGCATGTCACGATACCACCTTATCATCCACCAAGCAACGGAGCTGCAGAAAGGCACGTAAGAACCTTCAAACAAAAAATTAAAACAGCTTTAGAAGACCCAAGAAATAATGGAATCAGGTTGCATACTTTAATTTCCAGGTACCTTATCACTTACAGAAATACCAAGTCCGAAATAACTCAAAAATCCCCTGCGGAAATGGTTTTCAACAGAGAACTGAGGACAAGGCTCAGCCAAATGAAAGAAATACCACTAAAAAGCTCACCAGAAAGTCAAGATACACCAAATAAGATCAGGGAATTTCAAAAAGGCGACTCGGTGATGGTCAGAAAATACCAGTACAATAAGAAATCGTGGACGCCTTCAACAATCAAAAGAAGAATAGGTAAAAATACATATTTGTGTGAAACATCAACAGGTCAAATATGGAAACGTCACACAAATCAAATGTACAAAAATAAAGGCGACCTGATCAAATTGCAGAGCTCTGGGTCGGACGAGGATTATACCTACATTTCGCTGCCTAATAATAAGACTGATTTGAGCGCGACAGAGGATCGACAACTGGAGTTATCCGAGAACCTGCTCCCATCCGATCCTCAAAACAGCAATAATGAAATTTCCAACAGCATAAACACTGAAATCGAGGCAATCATTCGCCAAGAAAACTCAAACTTAGACAAAAGTGATTATTTTTCACCTTCACATTCCCCTATTTTTCTCCCCAAATCAGCATCTTCCCCCGCGAAACGCGACAAACTGCCATTAGTAGAACACTCATACACTAATTTTTCAGGTCCAAGTCAGATAAGACACCCTCAAAGCCAAATGGCCGCTGCCAGCACCACCAAAGGGCGAGAACCAACCAATAAATGCATACCAAGAACTATATCACCTGACAGATCAAGCATCACCGATCAAACAAGTTCACACACACTAATCGGAAGGCCAAAACGCCACTCTAGGGCCCCAGAACACTTTAAAAATTATTTGACCGGTAAAGATATAGACAAGGTATAGGCTCAATGATTTTTTTTCTTTCTCCTTTGGTTTTTCACCTATTTCACTGCCAGTTTCTCTGGAAGCTCCCTTTTGGTGCTGCAGGCATTTAGTTTGTTTTTGGTAGACATTAGATTAAGATTGCATGTTTGTTAGTGATTTTAAATGTGACGACGTATTATGTAATGTACATTCATTTATGTTGTAAAAAGCTCCGTACCTAACCAATATTTAAGTAGCAAATTTTTTTTTTCCCCTTTATTATTGACAATCAATGAAATAACTGTGATATTTGTATAAGACTGACAACAGCAAAAGCTAAGCTTAATTTTAAGATAAAATTGTAATTAGGTTAAGGTATAATTTTTTTTTGTATATAGTAGCGCAGGGTCGTAAGAAAATGTAATTCTTTCTTTGCCACCACATTTTTTTTTGTTTATGGGGAGGTTCCCATTCAAGGAGGGGTGTGTTGGGTTCGGAACCAACCCAGAACCAGTTGGTGCAGAACCACAGACTACAGGACGAAAACGGCCGGACCACCCAGAGCGCACAAGCGAGACCTGGGCTACGAGGTTCGGCAGCGATCAAGTCTCAGTCTGCGACCCGCCTCGATGCCGTAGCTCACGGCTTAGAAAAACCTCCCTGCACACATACCTACCTACCCTCGCTATGAATCGCTGTTGTTCATCCCCGCTGTATTTTTTATAATTAATAAAGGTCGGTGCTAAATTGACTCGTGGCGTGATTATTATTTCCCGATCGACAAACGTAACATCTACTAATATCTCAAACGGTAATAACTTATTGGAATGAAAATTTCCAGTTTCTTTTTTGATTTTTTTCTTGAGGCATAAGTACAATTGTAATTGTAATTTTCAAAATTATAATATTTTTTTCATACTTTTTTATCCATCCATGTTTCTGTTATTACGGGGTGTCCTTTGATAAACTGACACATTTTGCAGGTAAATAGTAAATACCTACATATCTCTAAAACCAAAATTGAAAGGCTCGTGAAACAACGCATAATGTACTTCTTATCTGAGCATAACCTATTAAATTCCGCTTAATTTGGCTTCCTACCAAGGAAAGGCAGCTACGATGCTATGTTTCATGTCATGGAAAAACTCTTTAGACATTACAACGATGGCTTTGCCACCGCAGGAGCGTTCTGTGACTTCTCCAAAGCTTTCGACTGTATGAGTCGCGGGACGCTGCTGAGAAAGATGGAGGTCTATGGGTTCCGTGGAGAAGCTTTGGAATGGTTTAGATCATATATTTGTCTGGTCCAAACCAGTAAGTTTTTATGTCACGGCAAATAGTGAATTCTCCTCTGAGCAGCAGATCAGCTATGGAGTCCCGCAAGGATTAGTCCTAGGACCAATCCTTTTTCTCATTTATATAAATGACTTACTACATCTGGGAATCTCGGGGATGTTTGCTGTGTTTGCGGATGATGCAACGATTGTGTGGCATTGATGGAAGACGACTGCGGCGCTGGTCTTGATCATCTCAAGGGACATCAGTGCTATTAAGGCATGGTGCGATGCAAATGGGCTTCTGCTCAACTTTACTACAACCCAAGTAATTGGTTTTCGATGTAATATCGACCACATCGATTGTGAGCAGTTTACAATTAAATCTTCGCAGAACAACAAGTTTCTTGGCCTTCAGTTAGATGCCGATCTCCATTTTTTCGATCTCATATTATAGCACGAAGTCGCGTCTAGCTGTTTCTGCGTTTGAATTGTTGCTGGAAACCTTAACGTCCCTACCGTCAAATCCGTTTACTATTCAGTTGTCCACTCTCATTTTTCTTACGGTTTACTTTTTTGGGGCTGTTACTCCCGGTACCTCTTCGAGTCCAGTGGCGTATCCAGCCTGAGGTTCTGGGGGGGGGGCAAACCTGGTGTGTCAAATTTTTTTTGAGGTGCAACGCCCAAAAGTCTTCAAAACCACACAATCGAGTATTCGCTCGCTTCTCTCAATACTTTTGTAGGACAAAATATATAATATTTTCACAGAAAAATAAGGTAGTGCTAGGGTTCCGTAATATTAGCCTGCCAGCCAACACTGAAAAAATCTTTGGGCGGCTGTAATGTCTTTGATTACTTTAGTTTGATGATTCTTAAGTTTCGATGGCTAATAGAAAAACGCAGATTTTACTGATTACTTTTTAATCTATTGAGCACATGATAAAGAATGACAATTTTGCGGATCTAATTGAACATTCCCACCCATATGTATTGGTGGGGGCAATTCCCAGTTAAATGTCATTTGTCGAACAAACTTAACAAAATTAAATATACTACAATAACGATAAGAGCTTGATAACTGGAATTATTTGTTTTTCTGAGAAATCGACTTTCAAGAAACAAGTAGGTAACATGTATAACATAAAATCAAACTAAAATTTAATTCAAAAGTCAAAGATATACAGGGTGCGGCAATTTTTGAATTCAGAATTTACATACAAGTTAAAAATGTCAAATGACATCATAAAATATTGAAAACGGGAAAAGATAAGTGCTGCCGTTTGGCAGGGTTTTGACAGGTGTCAAAATGGTTGACATTTTTCGACTTGACTTGGTCGACTTAGTAGACATCGATACTTCGATCATCAAAATCTGCCATAGTCACTCTTCTTTAGGATATAAGATTCCAATATTTGACAGCTAACCACGCCTCACCTGTCATATATACAGGGTTGTGCCCATGGTAAAAAATGTTGCTTACGGCATCCCCAATGACATATTTAAATTTCATCCAAATATCACGGGTAACCA